ATGAGGTGTGGGATTGGTAGGATTGGGGGGGGGAGGGGGTTTAGGTTTGGTGGTAGGGAGGGGAGGGGGGGGTGGTGTGATGTAAGAATGGGGGTGTGGGATGAGGGAGGGGAAGGGGGGGGCGTGCTTGGGGGTTGGGTGTTCTGCGGGGGGTGGGGGTGGGGGAGGAGCCATCATGGGTTGAAACCCGCGCGGCGGGACGCAGCGCACACGTTGGGAGAACCCATTGCCGTTGAAGAAAGGGGGGCGGCGGTTGGCGAGGGGGACAACCGTTGGCACGTCCGAGTCGAGCTCGTTTTCGGAGGATTCATCAGATGACCTTGAGCGGGAGCGAGATCGGGCGGGGGACCGGGAACGGGAGCGAGAGCGGCGGGCGGGTTGGGATTTGGGGGGTGCTTGGGTGTATGGGTTGGAAATCCTGGCTGGTTTACCCCTGGCGCGCTTCTTGAGCAGACCAGTCGAGGTGACGGAGACGGTCTCGTTGTCTGAGAAGGACTCCTCCTCGTAGGTGGTGGAAGGGGACTGGTCAACCGTCACAGTCGAAGAAACAGAGGCAGTGTCGCTGTCGCTTCCGTCCTCGCTGTCGTCACTCGAGGGCTTGAGGCTCCGCTTCTTCTTGAGGCTGGGGGCAAAGACGTATCCATTGGTAGATATGTAGTTCTGCACAGCCGTGGCAGACTTGACGTGAAGGCCGTGGATGGCCTCTTGGAGAGAAGGTGCGAGTTCGGACATGAGGACCTCCCGCTCGCCCTGCTCGGCTCTCAGGACCAGGGCCTTGAACTTGCCCAGAGGTTCCAGTGCCGTGACCAACGAGATGTCCGCATCCTGACGACTGAAGAACTTGCAGTTTTCTGGGGAGGAGACCATATTAGTGGCTGAGACTGACAAACCTGCAGGGAACAGCTTGACTTCGATGTAGGACATATAGCGGTGAGTAAACGTACCAATAACCTGAGAACGCAAGTCAAATGCTGGCGGAGGAGCCATGGGAGCCATGCTCGAGCTGAGATGGTGCCGGGTAGGTGTTTTCTGGGCAGAGTCAAAGTAATAAGAGGGTACTAGCATTGGGTAATCCAACCCCGGGTAGACGAGCTGGTGATGATATGACTGAAGTCTCAAAGTCCAGAAAGAAAGACTGGACGAAGGTAGGGATGGGCTACATACTTATACCTGTTTGTAGAAAGCTCAACGTCTCACACCGGCAACGTTTGTGCTTCCTCAAGAGGGGCCACCCGTGACAAGGCATGAGGCCCTTCGGGAAATGGAGAGGGGGGGTGACAGAAACAGAGCCGTGTTTCTGGACTCTCGAGGACGAGTGGAAAACGAGGCGGACTTTGCATGCCCGGGTGATGCATATGTAGGTGACAGGACAGAAAACTGGGGGTTTCCGAAGCGTACCAAACTATACGGATGCCCCGGGATAAAAACTAACCGCCACGCGGTGAGCAGATACACTGCATGCCAATGCCGTCAATATAGAAGTCGTTGAGCGGCTCAGTCGCCCGGCAAAAGAGTGGATGAGGGAAAGAGGAGAAATACCAAGATGAGCAGCCGGCATACCTTAGGTACTACGAGCGTACCCATCGGCTAGACACCGTTCTTGTCTCGCACGAAGCCGGAATGGGTGGTCACTTGACGTTGTGTGTCCGGCCGGGTACCATTGCTTTGTTGTATTTCAACCATCCATCCAAGGCCACGGACGCAGACATTGTTATTGTGTTGCCATGTCGATGGCAAAGATGAAGCCGCTTTTATGCTCTGTGTGTGTGACACAAACCACGGTCCGCACCTTTTGGCGATCGGCTTGATCATATCACATCTGACTGAGATGCTGTGTACCTTGGTGGACCCGGACTGCGAAGACTGTGAAATTTGTGTGCCATTGAGAAATTCGTTCGAGGCGTTCCATCACATCGATATCTGCTCTGTGATTTACAGCCCTAACCGCTGTGGCAGATGCAGGCGTTGACCGGCGGTGAAGAGACCGATAAGATGCCGAAGAGCGGTGTCCGAGCTCGCCGGAGAGTGAGTGATATCGATCTGCCCCCCAAGCCTCATTCTAACCATCCAAGCCAAGAGTCAACACAGTCTGTATAATTCCAAATTCTTGGGATTGACTTACAGTATGATACAATTGGACATAATTATCCATGCCCGAAGTCCAATTGGCAAGCAAGCCACCAACCAGGAACACCCGCATCGGCCTCCACATCATAACAATTCCCGTCCAATCGTTCACGATCGTCGCACCTCAGCTTCAGTTTTGATGCCGAGCAAAATGTCAAGATCCGTCCTTCCCGGCATTGTAGGGCTGCTTGAGCATATACGTGACCTTTTATGCTTGTACCGAAGGATTCAGAAGCCAATTGCCCTTCACAATGCCGGGGATGGTGCCCTGTCACCCCTTGGCGTAACAATTGATTGTTGTATTAGGCTACCTAGTATCATCTAACAGCACGTTTTTTTTGCCTGCATAAGCCCTTCACCCAACCGTCAATCTCTCAAGCCGATCCTTCACGGCATCTACCATCATCGACTCCCTATCCAACAAGCTCATGACTAGTGCCATCTTCGCCTTGCGGATATCCGCGGGGATCCTCACGCTAGGCGCCGGCGAGGCGGGCCCGTCTTCAGACGCCTCTCCTTGTTTCCGTTGCAGCCGCTCGGCCTGCGCCAGAAGCGAGTCGCTGAGCTCCTTAATCTCTTCGAACCGCTTCCAGGGCTGTCTGGTCTTGGAGTCAATGGGCGAGGTATCGACTTCGGATCCAAAGATGCTATTCTCAAAGCCCTTCACCTCCTCCACCCAAGCCTTCTCCTTGTCGCTCAGGTCGCGAGTCGTGGCGCGGCCGAGCTTCTTCTTGATCCTTTCCATCCTGCTGGCCAATTCCTCCTGGCGTCTCTGCGCTTGATCAATGCGTGACCTGGTGAGCTCGTTGATCGAAATAGGATCGTCGTCTTCCTCTCCTAGGTCATCGCCCGTGATCGTATCAATTCTCTTCTTGACCTCCCCTGCCTTGATCAGCTGGTCTCTGAGTTCAAACTGAAGCGCTTCGCACTTCCTGAACAGTTCCGCTACCGCGTTCTGGATCTCAAACACCTCGTTGCTAGCTACCTTGTGACCCTCCGTGAACACTTCAAGCGTCGCCATGGACAACCTGATCTCCTGCTGTAGCAACGGTCTTCTCCGACCCGTCTTGAGAAGATCAACCCACGCCGACACGGCGTTTTTGTTGCTAACCAGCACATCCGAGGGATGGAAAACAGGCCGGGGGTGCCACACCACTTCTGGCTCAGGAATTTCCAATTGCTCATGGACAATCGGCGAGTCTCTTGCAACATGCACGAGCTCAAGCTCTGGCGTGTCGAAAAAGATGGCGATGGGCTGATTATGAGTGGATGAGAGCAGAAGGTGACCAATGTCTTGGTCGCGAATAACAACGGGCGCTGAAAGCACATTAAGCCCTCGAGGCTGAGTAAACACTCGCTCCCGCTCTGAGCTATGACTCTGAACCAACACATCAATGCGAAAATCTGCGCCAGCTTCCGACTCGCCCGAGAGCTCACTTTCGAGGCGTGAAACCCAAGGTTCCAGGTTGACATGAGTGATGCCGGCAGGGTTGGTCACGTAAAAGGAATACTTGGAAGTGGCATCCTCGCTAAACATGGGCCAACTGTCGGGCGTAAGTTCTGCGGGCTTGACAGTGTCGAATGTCTGAAAAGTGAGCAGGCTTTGTGTTCTGGGGGTCGCAGAAGATGGCCTCAGCTTGCTCTTAACTTTTGAGGGCAACCACTCAGCTTCCACCCCTTCGGCTGCCAGGCAGATTTTGACCTGGCCACTGGTAGACAGCAGACAAACGACGGAGAGGGACAGCCCATTCTCCCCCTCTTCATCCATGAGCAGCTCCTCATCTTCTCCCATCATCAGATCCGACATATTTGGCTTCTCTCCAACGACGTAGATGTCTTTTAGTTCAACCTCATCGTCCTGCTCGTCCTCGGGGTTTAGGTCAAAGTCGAAAGGTCCCTGTAATTTTGGAACAATTCCCGGACGAGCTGGCCGGCTGTAAACTTCCACCTCGCCATTTCCACCGGGAGCTTCCACAACCTTTGGCTCTTGATTGTCCAGATCAGACATCCACTGCAGCTGCTGCTGGGCCAAAAGACGATCCTCATATGTGGCATCTGGGCTATCCTCCGTAGTCGCGACTCTGGAGACAATCGATACTGACAGGGAAGGAATAAGTGTTGGAGGCGGAGCCCAACGCTTGGGAAGAAGAGGGCACAGGGCGTACACGTCGCCTCCCGTCATAGCAATCCACAGAGTCATTGGCGACCAGCCACCGGAGTTTCTAGCTGGGAAGCATGCTGCCGCGACTTCCATGTCAAAAGAATCTGGCGAGAACGCCTTGTTTGTCGCTGATACAGAGGCACTAAAGTCCTGATCCACACAGGTTCCATCTGCCAGCCTTTTGAGGTCGACAGCCAAGGTGGCGGCGTCAAAGCTCCAGCGGTCAGTGGCTGACAACTCCCAGATCCGCACGACAGCATCCTCGGTAACAGTGACCAGCGCTGTGCCATTAACACCCAACGGATGCCAGATTGCCGAGACGACGGCCGATCGAGAAGTGACGTGAGTAGTAGGCCCGAGCGTATAAAACTTGGGCTTGAAAGGAGTCGAATCGCGGGCGTTGAGATGGGTCGAGTCGGGAAGAATGCAAATGTGAACAGTGTGAGACGTCAAGACGGCGAGAAAGTCGTTGTTTGGGGACATGACCAGCTGGCGAATGTCTTCGGCAACGGGTGTTTTGATGATCTATGCGACAGATGATGAGCAACAGAGCTACACCGACGACGCCAGGACCGGCACGACTGCTTACCCTGTACCCCTCTGGACCAGAATTTCCGTTGGCAGCCTCCTCATCGTAGACCTCAAAGTCGTTTGGTTCCTTCTTGAAGCGAACACCACCCGTACGCGCCTGCTTGGTCTCCCAAGATTCCTTCAGGTCGACCAAATCTCCCCATCTTATCTGCTTCCCCACAGCCACAAAAACTTCAGTTCCTCGATGCGCAATAGCTCTCCGGGGGCCTGGCTTCGGTTTCTTGTTATATGCCAAAGAAGAGGTTTTCGTTTCGTCGCTGGAGGGCTCAAAGAGCTTATGGCCTGGGCTGGGCTCATTCAGCCAACTGGGCGCGAAGCTTTTGACTCTGGGCATGTTCGCTGCCAGCGCAGGGCGTGGTAGTGTGGCGATTGCAAGGTTTTGCTTTGTCCAAACTGTCGTCAAATCGAAATCGATATCGCGGAAAGAGTGAGGACTGGCAAGATGCGTCAGGGTGTGATGTGATCAAACAGTTGACAGTGCCCAAAGCATACAGCAAAAAAAGAAGCAGGGCTGATTTGTTCGAGATGGCTGGAAATGGAAGCTCTTCAAAGGAGCTGCTGGTTCTCTTAGCGCGTTCCTCTGGCGTCGCCCGGCCAGCTCGCTAGCTTTTGATTTTGTGGCAGGCACAGGTGTCTTGGCAATGCTATCACTGGACCCACCCCTGTCCGGTGCGCTGCCGCAGGGGCCCACCTAGAATTGAAAGTCGCTGAGAGATGCGACGGGCTGAGGCAACGGTTCAACTTTCAACAAACATTCATCACGAAAAATATACCCATCAAGATGAGAGCAGTACGCGCCACAGTAGACCGTCTTGACCGCCCAAGCGCCTACTTTAACAACGCCAGAGTGAGTTTCCCTCGTCTGACTTTAGCTTCGACTTCCGCAAAGACATGGCATCTAACCACTGCAACTACTGTACAGCACAAGCGAAGACGATTCGACAAGGACCAACGTGATGGCGATGACGACACAGCAGGCATGCACCCCGAGAATCGGGAGGACGACGACCCGTTGAAGAATGCCACCACTCTTTATGTGGGCAACCTGCAAGTCCCCCCTCTCTCGACGCGAAGCCCCCCGAGGTCTACAAGGCTGACTGTTGTTTAGGTCCTTCTTCACCACCGAGGAGCAAGTGTACGAGCTTTTCAGCAAATGTGGCGAAATCAAGCGATTGGTCATGGGGCTCGACAGATTCAACAAGACGCCGTGTGGGTTCTGCTTTGTTGAGTACTACACACATCAGGATGCGCTGGATTGTATGAAGTATATTGGAGGAACCAAGCTGGACGAACGTATCATTAGAACGGATCTGGATCCTGGTTTCGAGGAGGGCCGACAGTATGGCCGCGGAAAGTCGGGAGGACAGGTGCGTGACGAGTACCGCGAAGATTACGATGAAGGTCGCGGTGGCCTCGGCCGCGCTATCGCGCGGGAGCGTGAAGGCAAGGACTTTGTTGATGACGGACGGCTGAGATAGGTGGGCTAAGATTGTTGACTGGTTGCGCTGGCCAACTGATCGGAACTTGATACCCTGGAAACATCAAAGAATGATTTTCCACGTACGACAGACATAATGTGTTACTTCCAGGCCTGCATTGGCCGACTATTAGAAGGCTGTATAGCTGATGTGAATCCTGATCAATCACCCACGGAGCCCGGGCTCCTGTCTGGACCTTGTGATTAAACATCAAGTGTGGTTTAGAATATCGATTTTGTTCTATCAAATCCCATCATAAACGCCTTGGATTTCATTTGGTATAATACACAGGATATACATGCCCAAGCCTACGCCCATCGTCTCTCGTTTAGAAACCAGGTGGGTTGAGTCTTTGCGACACGCGAGTCCACTTGGGGAGTTCTAGAGTCCATGTTAGCCGCCAATACCAGCCTTACCCAAATCCTGTATAAATCCCACGTACTGTGAATGCCCTTACGGTATCTCTTCTCTTTCCGGTCGAAAATGGTGTACTTGTCCTTCGCCAGCATCTCAGCCTCGGTAGGCATCTCGGCCTTCCACCGCTCCAACGACTTGACCGTCTCGCCCTTCTTCGCCAGCGCCGTGCTCAGTGTCTCGACGACTTTATCGACGGCCTTTAGCCTCTGTCGTTGGCGGTACTTTTGCGTGGGGGAGAGGCGCCATGGGATCTTCCTGTTTTTGCGTCAGCCCCGTTGCCCGTGACATATTTCTCGGTGGATAGTTCTGTATTACCATAGAAGACCCCCGCTCAGGGAATTCGTCGCTCTGAAGGCCCCAAACATGTTGACCGTTTGTCTGCTGGGGTTTGGGGAGGGCACCAAGCACCCGTTTTCCACGTTTGCTGCCCTCTTTCTGTCTTGTTCTTGATGAGGGTCGCTTTTTTTTGTTGGATTCGAAAAAGGAAATTCCACATCATGGGGGGAACACCCCACCATGGCCCGACCACTGCTCTAGGGAAGGGGGGGGAGGGGGGGGGGGGTTGGAGAGACTCAGACGTTCAAACCGCTCGGGACTTTGTCGGTGGCGGGCCTCTTTTCCAAAAAATCGTGGCTCGCCGGCGGCAGGCCAATCACTGGGCGCCGAGCGCCCTGTTGATTGATTTGTGGGGCACCCCGCGACCCACTCCCAGCTGCCGCCTTGCAGCGTTAGCGCCTGGGATGGGTGACCTTCTGGAGCTGTCCTGTCCGGCTTATCGATGAAATGCTGAAGCTATCTCCAACATCCAAGACTCTCCAATACGCTTGACTGATACCCAGCCCCTGATCGGCCGATGATGAAGACTATCGATTCCGACTGAACACACCCACACGAAATCAACATACCAAACCCCCACACGGCGAACGATCCCGGCGCAACCACTCCCCTCTATCCCCCGATACCTCCTACTAGACAGAGCCCGAAAAGATGTCCTACTACTTCGCCATCCTCTCCCCCCTCGACACCCCCCTCTTCGAACATGAATTCGGCACCTCCAAATCCGGCGGCGACGGCCACCCCCGCTTCACTGACCAAGCCCGCCACCTCAACCAGTTCATCCTCCACTCCTCCCTCGACATCGTCGAGGAGCTCCAGTGGACCCAGCCAGGCCTCTACCTAAAAGTAATCGACAAGTTCTTCCAAAACTACATCTCCGCCTTCGTCACCGCCTCCAACGTCAAATTTCTGCTACTTCACCAGCCCACCACTTCTGTCCCCGCCGCCAACGGGGAGGCCAACACGGCGCAGGCGGCCGCCTCGTCGAGGGTGAACTCTACTTCTGTCGGGGCGAATCCTACGTCTCCCCAGACGGAGGAGGCCATCAAGAATTTTATGGGGGAGGTGTACGAGAATTATGTAAAGGCGGTCATGAGCCCGTTTTACAAGGCGCCGAATATGGAGATTAGGAGTCCGGTTTTTAGGCAGAGGGTTGCGGCGGCGGGGAGGAAGTATCTTTAGACAGTGAGGATCACGCGTCGGTAGAAGAGGACAGTCAGATACCCCCAAGACACGAATGATCACACACACGTTCGTTGTTGGAAGAGGACATGGTTGTTAGATACCCAAAAACACCATAATATCATCACATCACATTTCAAGTCTAAACACAAAAGTAAGGTATTATGTTCATTCGTTCTTCTGCCTGGTATTGCAAATCATTCATCGCCATGAATGTTTCCCCCCTCCCTCCCGAGTATTCCATAAACGCCAGCCTGAAAAACACAGAGCTTATAACCACCATCCCTGATCTGGTTGTGTGTCCATCATGCCAAATATGTTGTGAAAAAACCGACCGCGAATAAAGAGAAAACACGCTTTGATTATCAATAGGTAATCGGCGGAGGTGTTTAACCACCGAAACCGTACAGAGTGCGGCCTTGGCGCTTGAGGGCGTAGACAACGTCGAGAGAGGTGACGGTCTTGCGCTTGGCGTGCTCGGTGTAGGTGACGGCGTCACGGATGACACCCTCGAGGAAGGACTTGAGGACGCCACGGGTCTCCTCGTAGATCACTGGGATAACTGGTCAGTATGGGTGATGGGAGAAGTGTGTGGAAGAGAAGGGGAACATACTAGCAGAAATACGCTTGACACCACCACGACGAGCAAGACGGCGGATAGCGGGCTTGGTGATACCCTGGATGTTGTCACGAAGAATCTTTCTGTGACGCTTGGCACCGCCCTTGCCGAGACCCTTGCCACCCTTTCCACCTGTTGATTGTTAGTGACATGATGGATGATGAACGATGGCGATGACAATGACGATGATGGTTATGATGAAGTCGTCGACGACGATGATGACAGTGATGAGAAGGCTTGGTGGTATTGGAAGGCGGTCGTGGTGGTAATCGACGCGTTGCATGGAACAGAAGACGCGTCGGTTACCCCACCTCAAACCACCAAGCCGACCGCATCACCACCACCACCACCTACTTGCAGCAGCGACGACGGCGACGGATAATCACCATCAAACCAAAACCGAAAAACGAAATCGCGGATGTAACTTACGGCCAGTCATCTTGATGAAGGTTTGTTAAAAAGTAGTTGAGATGGATACTTGTTGATGAAGAAATCGACGATAAAGAAATCGACGATACTAAAAGCGATTGATGGATGAAGCAGTAAAGTGAGAAGTTGGCAAGAGTGAGAGAGAGGGAGAGTTGGGAAATAAATACAGCAGGTAACTTCCAAAGCCGCAGGCGGGGAACCACACACGGGAGCACCTCACAATCACTGATTCACTTTGCGCAGCAGGCAGGACACAAAAAAAGGGCACTAAACCTTTTTCAGGTTGGGAGACCGGGGGGTGTGTGGCCAGATTTTTTTGGGTAAAGGGAAAACATCGCCCACTTTTGATGCGCAAAACCCAGCCGTGAATTGGCGGCGCAATCGCTGCCAGAAAAATGCGCGCTGTGATTCCAACTTTTGTTGCCGTTGGATGCGCTTGGTTGCGGCCAATGCGTTTTGGAGCCAAAAAATGGTCCGTGCTTTCCCTTCTTTCCCCCTGGATCAGAGCGAGATCAGCCAGAAAATCAATGCAGCAGTGGTCCGTGCATGGGTGGGTGCTCCCCCCATTATCTGGAATTTCCTTTTTCGGATCCAACAAAAAAAGCGACACTGATGAAGAACAGAGAGAAAGAGGGGAGGAAACCTGGAAAACGGGTGCCTGCTGCATATTTGTATTTTCCACAGGGTGTCCATCAGCTCCATCTCTGCGAGGCAACACTTTGTCAAATCAGCCGGCTAGACTCCTCAACCGAGTCTTCCACTCTTGAGGTACCAAGGTACTCACGCGTCACATCACGAAGTGATCTCGGATAGAAGGACACGCTGGTTGCCATCTTCATGCTGGCAGTCAGGTCAGCCAACCTAATGCCTGTATTATGATCCATTTTTGTACACCCTACCCTTTCTACAGCCCATTTCCCAGTCCGCCCTTCCGTCTTGCTTGTTGTGTTGTTGATGTCCGCCAACTCCATCCTATACATGCCGGACAATGCATGCTGAACTACTCATACAAAAAACCAAAGGCCCAGCCCGACCCCTGGGTGTTACACACCTTGTGCCCGCCAGAAACGCCATTGCCATGCAAAACAATGCCGACCTGCTGTGATGAAGAAAGAAAAACCGATGCCTCCTCTACAGTCGCTCCACCCTTGGGAAGACACTCACTCCTCTTGCCCTGAGCTCCAGTTGATTTCCACACGCTCACGAGGTGGACTGGATACTCCATCAATATTTCGTTCGATTCGGAGGACAGGATAACTTCATGTTCCAACGTCGTCATAATACTCGTGAGACTCAATGCACCATCGAGTCCTCTATGCAATCATCATCTTCCAGGCCCTCGATCTCCTGTTTGATTTGTGAACTCGCCTGCAATAAATTTGTCAGTGTCATGTTCTCTGTAATGCACGATTGGGAGAGAATTTACCTTGGGATCTAGACTCAGAGCAATGGTGAAGTGGCGCACTGCCAACTTCTTGTCTCCGAGCAACTTGGACAGTTTGCCAAGCAAAAAGTGTACTTGCGCCTTGTCCGGCGCAAGATCTCGCAGAACCAAAAGCTCCTGCTGCGCTTCTTCGAACTGACCAGTCGCCATGAGAGCCCGGGCTTTCTTGTGTCGGATTTCAGGTGCCCGTGGCGCCAGCTCGACGGCCCGAGAGAAGTAAGGAAGCGCCTGGCCGATCTGCTTCTGCCGTTGCAGCACAGTTCCCACGCAACAAATCAAGACAGCGTGGTCTGGGTGGATAACCAAAGCTGCCTTGTAATGACTCAGCGCCTTGTCCCAATTGCCCAACTTCTCAAACACCTTCCCAATTCCGTAGTAGGCATTGTAATGCCGCTTGTCGGCTGAAATAGCCTGTCGATATGCCGTAAGGGCCTTGTCATATTCCTCATTCTCTACGTGCTCGTGTCCTTGGAGTGTGTACGCATAGGCGAATTTGGGGTGTAGCTGAATCGCACGCTTGAAACAACGCAGCGCCTGCTCGTGATCGCAAGCAAGGGACCACGCATTGCCCAAGGCGCACCAGGCATAGGGTGAATCCCATACGGCGTCGACGAGTTCGTGTGCCAGGAACGATAGATCAGTCTCCTTCCTGAGATGCCAGAGGACTGTTGAGTATACCTCCATGTCCTCGTGGCGAGTAGGGGCTAGCATTCGGAGGCGTCTGAATAGCTTTTCGGCTTCAGCATAATTTGCCTGCTCATATTGCGCCCTGCCCATCCGGGCCAACACCCATGGGGTGTCTTGGTGGCTGCGAGGGAGCGACAAAAACGCCGCCAACGCGTCTTTGCAGCGGAATTGTGATGAGAGGAGGTATCCAGTGGCCATCTTTTTCAAGAGCTCTAGAATCCATCTCAATGCTTCGTCAATCTTGACCGGCTCAGGTTCAACAAGCGTCATCTTGGGCGGTGGCGCTTGCATCATCGGCGGCGGTTCCTTAAACCGCGGAGCTTCGGCTTGATCGACATCCATTCCATTTTCCTCAATAGGCTTCCGATTGCCACTAACAACCCTGCCAACCACGGCTGCCCCTGGGCGGCCTATCCTAGAAATAGGGGGTCTAGCCTTCCTCAGTTCTCGGGTAGCCGTCGTCCCCAGAGCCGTAGCACCAGCGTTCGCCCTCGACGCAGGTGGTCTCGGCAGCACATTCAGTCTCGCACTCCTCCGTGGCTCCTCACCATTGGCTGGACGTGGCTGTACTGGATGCCCCGATGCTGTGCGTTTTCTATCGGTCACTGATGAAATCGCGGTAGGTTTGGACCAATTATCTGTTGATGGATCTGCTGCTTGTTCTTGGGTTCTTTCTCTTCTCTTTGAACCCAAACGATAACCACCAAGTCTTGGTGGAGGTTCGAAGATGGCAGGTTCCACTGCTTGGGCACCACGGGTCCGACGGTTTGGTGCCTGTGGTGGTTCCGACGGGTGTCCTAATCGTGATACCTGAGGTTCAGGAGCACCAACCGGCGCAGAGCCAGTTGGGGTTTCCATTCCATCCGATCCATTCCTGCTTCCTTGATTGCCATTGTACCTCGAGTGGGCCGCAGCAAACTTGGCCATCAAGTCATTAGGGGCAGGTTCGGTAAATAAGTCGTTTCCGGAAGGGTCCATATGGTACGTCGCAGGACGGGGGGCGTCAAATGGATCACTCTCGCTGGCTGATTGCATGCCAGCCTTCCTTTGGAGGGGCTCGGGGCCGTTCGGTTCGCTTGCTGTGCCGTTTTCCAAGTCGAAGTTGCGCGCAAACGGCTCATTAAACCTGAAAACATTTGGTATCCTGACGTTGACCCCCATATCGCAAAGCGCGGTAAAGGCATCCCACATCAAAGGGTTGGCTTTCAACGCTTCCTCGAAGCATGGTACCGATTTCTTCTTGTCGTCCAATGCTCGATATAACTTTCCTAAAAGACAGCTGCAAGCCGCGGCGTCGGGATAGGGAGATCTTGATGAAGCGCTGTGCCTTCCGATGCTGCATTTAGTAGCCCACAGTGCCCTCGCCTTCTCCAGAGCTGTGATTCCATCCTTGTATTTCTCCAGGTCAAAACAGGCCTGCGCAAATATAAAGGCACATCCCAAGTGTACACCTCGAAAGCCTGGTGGCTTGCTGATTTCGTAGGCTGATCTGGAATCGCCAAGGCGAAAATGGCAGAGGGATAGTAGATAGGCTGATTCGGAGGAGCGTGGGTCGTAGGCCTGCAGGCGTTCGGCGAAGAATATGGCGCTGTCATAGGCAAAGTTGTCAAGATGATAGTGAACTGTTTGCCTTAGCAATGCGGCGACCGTGGCGCTATTAGGTGCCATCGTGTGAGGATCAGCGACGCCGAATAGGGGTATGCGACCTGGTAGTATTGAGGGATGCTATCGGCTATGTTGATCCATGGAATCGCAAGAAACGACGTTGCTCCTCGTCGATGCACCTTGGTGGAATGAAGCAGCCTTGATCGGGTGGTCAAACGAGAGGCTGGCCGTAAACGTTTTCCAGGGGTGGGCGACAAAGAATCGTTGGAGGGGTGTGTTTTGATGGATAGGCAGGGAGGCCGGCGTCGGGAAAGAGATGGTCGATGCAGCTGTTGTGATTAAGTAAAAGATTATTGGCCTCCTAAGAGTATCGCGACAGATAATCGAATACCTGATGTCGAGCCAAAGAGCGTCGCCAGCTTCGTGCGGTGTCGAAGTGTGGTGGTTAGTGATGGCGACGCAGAGCAATAGAAAAAAAACAAGGCAACAATGGCGGGCCCGCAAGACGTAGCAACCTGGGACTGTCGTCAAATTCTATCGGGACCCCCGAGAGCATGGCTTCCAAAAACGTAAAGGGAAGGCGGTGGCTCGAATGATGAAGAGCTGCTTGTCGTCATCCAGCACATCCAGCCCCAAGCTGGTCTTCTCAACCCTGCTTGTGCTCGTGAACTCGAGGGAAGCACCACGAGAAAGTGAATGGGGGTCTCGCGATGTTGTGGTGGGCGCGGCAACCAGCCTTCATTGGCTACGCGCCGTCAGCGGTTGGACCTGCCGGGCAACCCAACCTTTCCGGTGGGTTCTCTCCTCTCTAGCCACCCGTGCCCAGCCACAACATAACCGCTGTCAATGTCTTCTGCACATTACCAGCCCCTCCTCGCCGCATGCATATTCATTATCGACTGTAAGCAAGTAAAAATACTACAGAGTCAATTGGCTGTAGCCGTTGGTCTCCAATAATTATGCCTAGCAAATTTCATGAAAATGCATAGTTGGCTAAGATTCTCGCTCTGGTACTTCGATGTCGTTTGCAAGGGCCAAACTAGCCACACGATGCCGTCATAGGTCCCTGAAAGTCGTTCATGGTGATTTCCAACGTCGAAGCTGCTTCTTTCGACGAGCGCGGTCTTACATAGCGTTAACCGCTCATAAAGTGCTGCCGTGTGTCGCTTGCATTTCCCCAAAAAGACCACATACGTCTTGAAATGTAAATGAACGCTTTTCTTCGAATATTCATTGCAGTTTTCGTGTAGAATCAAGCCACTTCATTTTGTGTGGGTCCATCCAGGGGTCCTGCAATCGGCCACGAATGGCATTAGCTCCAGCTTAAACCCACTTCAACATCTTTCCTCAACCGTCGACCGCCAACGACATCTCACGCCAATTCGACAACTCAGCCTGGACTACCACAGCATCTCACCATGGCTCAAAAGGCACGCAAAGATAGAGCCAAGTCCAATGTGGCAACGCTCAACAACCTCCATCTCGGCTCACTCATCGTCAATGGCCTCTTCCTGCTGCTCAACTTCATCTTCAGGTCACGGTCCCTTCTGACCTGGTTCGTCCTCTCGCTTCCCAGCTTTGTCTGCCAGTTCATCTTGGAAAAGTCGGGCCGTCCGACATACGACCCCTCCACCAAGGCTCTCAAGTCATCCGGAGAGGATCTTGCCGCTGCTGGACTCACCGAGTACATGTTCGACGTGGTCTGGGTGACTTGGGCCGCCGCCATTCTCGTGGCTCTTTTCGGAAACTGGGCTTGGTTCCTATGGACTATCGTGCCCGCTTATGGGCTCTACAAGGGCTATGGCATGTTTGGTGCTGCTAGGCAAATGGCTCAACTAGGTGGAAGCGCGGATGCCGGTGCACCTGCCGTGGGCAACCGCAAGCAACGGCGGGCGGCAGCTTAATTCTACTCGACGAAACTTCTATTATATACTTATGCCTTGTGGCATTCGAGCTCCCTTGACCACTCCTCCAGCACCTGCGGCTCTACATCCCTCACCAACACGTGGACATGATCGACTGTCCGCACACTCTGAAGGGCCACCCAATTCTTGAACCAAATCACCTTTTTCTCGCCTCCCGGTCCGAGCCGGTCTACGAAGAATCTCTTGATGAAATCGGCCACGATCTTCCTGCTTTCATGCGTCATGTCTCCGACGGTGTCATCTGTGGCAATGGGAGTGCGTGTCCACACAACGATGTGAGATATGCCTGGAGCGAAGCCGTAGGGCCAGTCATTCATGAGAACGCGGTAGTCGGATGGGTTCTCAAACGGGATACTGGAAGCTGGAGTGAAGGGTGGTTTGCCCCAGGGCTTGGGGAGCCGATGGGTAATGAGAAAGTTGGTTATGTTGCCATACTCGGCTTTTGTCTCGGTAGTCCACTTGATGTACCGCCGAAGATCGGATGGCTTTCTCTTGAGAAGATGGAGATTGTTGTTCTCTGAGCATGTGTTAGATGAGTAGTCTCAGGGCACCAAATAGATGAGCAGTATGGGCAAGCCGTACGAAGGATCACACATAACTCGTCCCAGTCATGGCATTTGAACTCTTCGTCGGTCTGTGAGAGCACCCATTTGTCGACCTCTGTCAGGGGAAAGGGAGCGTCGACCTGGGCCAGTGTATCGGTATTCTCGCCCATGGCTGGGATGTGTTTACCCGGTAAATCTCTTGTTGCACCTGTGCCGCGATGGTGGGGTTGCCTCTGGGGCTTCTTCAAGGTTCCACCGCTAAATCGTCTGGCGAAGGAAGCAGAAGCTTGTTCGACAATGGCACGCTGAGCGGGAGCCAAGGACGGGCCGGGTGTTGAGAGGCGCTGTCTGAGGAGATGCAGACCCTTGATGTTGTGCGTCGGACGAAGCATTGTTTCACCTTCCTAAACAATGGCGTCCGCCCATCGGAGGACTCGGTGTTATCGCTACTATCAGATAGTATAGCTGGCCTGTCACTTTTTGTCACTGCCCCGTCAAGACGCGACGACGCTGCCAAGATGCCAACAAGGTGTCAACCAGCCGGGGGGTACCAGAATTGTTGAACCACAGGCGGCACCATCGCTGTAGATTTGGTGGGGCCCCGGTTTTCAGAAGCCACTCCCCGGGCAGAATCGGTCCAGCCCGCGCCAAATCGGCCCACTTTCAGTCTCCCACCCCCGTTCCGCTCGACGCTCGAGAAATCATTTTTCAGTTGACGGCTCCCCGTCTTGATCCTTTTTTTTTTCGGCGGTTGCGGACGGACTCACCTCGTGCGTCACCTCTCTAGATCCTCTCCTCACCTTCTGTCGTTCACGGCCAGACAGATCGACACAGCCGAATCGCCCAACATGTCCGACTCTCTGCTTGCGAAGAAGTATGTCGACGGGATATACATCCCGGCTGGTCTCATCGTGCTCGGCACCGCCATTCTGAAGCGCGAGTTCCTGCACTACGCCGTGCTCGTCGCCATTGCCCTCGGCGCCATCAAGTTCATCCGGACCCGTATGTCGCATTGGAACACTCTGGCCATTCCTAGGGAGCGTTAGCTAACGTCCATGCAGAGCCCAAGAAGGTCCTCAAGCCAGATGCCTTCCAGGAGTTTGAGCTCAAGGAGAAGACCATCATCTCCCACAATGTAGCCATGTAAGCCACTTCCTGCCCCGCCGGCATCAACGGCCACCGACTAACCAACGCCCTCTAGCTACCGCTTCGCTCTCCCCAACCCATCCGATATCCTCGGCCTCCCCATCGGCCAGCACATCTCGATCGGCGCCCATCTCCCCCAGCCCGATGGCACCACCAAGGAAATCGTCCGCTCCTACACCCCCGTCTCTGGTGACCACCAACCCGGCTACTTCGATCTCCTCATCAAGTCCTACCCTACCGGTAACATCTCCAAGCACATGGCCGGTCTTGCCGTTGGCCAGACCATCCGCGTCAAGGGCCCCAAGGGCGCTTTCGTCTACACTCCCAACATGGTCCGTCACTTTGGCATGATCGCCGGCGGTACTGGTATCACCCCCATGCTCCAGGTCATCCGCGCCATTGTCCGCGGCCGCAAGGCTGGCGACACCACCCAGGTCGATCTCATCTTTGCCAACGTCACCAAGGAGGACATTCTGCTCAAGGAGGACCTCGACGCGCTCACCAAGGAGGACAAGGGCATCCGCGTGCACTACGTTTTAGACAAGCCCCCTGCGGACTGGCAGGGCGGTGTTGGCTATGTTACCGGCGACATGATCACCGTGGGTTTTTTCTCTACTCGTTCTAAAAAAGAACAATTGCTAACGGTTTATACAGAAATGGCTCCCCAAGCCCGCCGAGGATGTCAAGCTTCTTCTCTGCGGCCCCCCTCCCATGGTCAGCGGCCTCAAGAAGACTGCCGAGGCTCTTGGCTTCAAGAAGGCCAGACCCGTCAGCAAGCTCGAGGACCAGATCTTTGCTTTCTAAGGTGGCCCAGAGTGTCGGTGTTAATGAGGTGAAAAAGTTGTGTACGACAAGAGGGGGGATGGCGGGGGAAAATGGTGATTTGTTATGCTGCCAATGATCCCCGACGTCCCAAGTTAGGGGCAACCCTATCTTTTATACGTCCTAATTATCAAAACGATAGATATAATGACATGCATGGCCTTTTTTGTATACGGATAGATTGGAAATGATTTTGGAGTTGGGTGGCATCATGGTGTACTTGTTTGTTTGTGAAATATTGGAATTTGCCACCCCCTTTTCATTGGAGGGCATGTCCTTTGTTTGTATACCGCCTATGCTGCGTTGCTATGGTCAATTTATTGCACAACTTGGTAGGTATTGCAGATCAATCTAAACAATCTTTGATGTTAAATTTGCAGAGCGAGGAGCTCTTCTCTCATGATGATAAATGCTACCTAATTGAGCAGGGAAGTCTTCCAACCTGTCCCAACCTTCCTGATAATGTACATGTATCGTACAATCCTTCTTGGAGATTGTCTTGCACCCCTTGTACGTCCGTCCTGCCTTAGCCTGGCGATGTACCCATCCCATCCCAATGCCTTGTCCCATATCCGATGCCCATAATATACAATCAGGTGAGATCTTTCAACCCATGCCAATCCCTTGTTCAAAGTCCTGTCCCATGCCATTCCAAGCCCATCCATATAGATTTCGCAAAGCCATGCCCATGACGAAACAAAGAAATAGAATCTCACGCGCGCCGATATACAAGCCATTCTATCACCCAAGCCCATTTCTATCGAGGACCACCCCACATCCCAGTAAAATCATTCACCGACCACATATTCCCACAATTATTATCTCCTCCCCCATTATTGTCAGTGTTGGCCCCATCATTATACAACAGTGAGTAAAAAGTGTCGGTAGGATCCAACATGCCCCAATCACCATCTCCCCCGCCACCCGTCCCCTCTCCCAAATCTTGAAACTCATCAAAAATATCCATCGCATTCCCATCTTCTTTCCCTTTACCACCACCACCTTGGCCGTGATTTCCCTCCCCCGAAACACCCCCCACATTCCCCGGCGGAAAATGCAGTAGTACATCCCCATCCTTCTCCTTCCCCGTCCCTCCTCCAGCCATCCCCATCTCAAACCCCAACCCAGCCCCCGCCCCCACAAGCCCAGTCTGCATCCCCAACCTAAAAGGCAACTCCTGCAGCCCTACCATTTCCTCCCTCCCACCCCGAAACCCAAACATCATCACCCTCTCCCCCGTGGCGGCCCTAGCGGTGTTCGTCTGCCCTCTAGCATAGGGCGGGTTATCACAAGGGTGAAAAGCATCCACAAACTGCCCCTGCTGTTGTTCCGGTTGTTTCCTCACCCCATCCTCCGTCAAAACCTGCAGTCCACACCCAGCCACCATCCCGCTCACCATGGAGGACAAACCAGAGGATATCCCCGCGCCGGGGTGGATGTTCCCACCACCAAAGTTTCTATCAGCAAACACCCCCGGAACCATCACCCTCTGCTGCTGCCCCCCCGATGTAGAAAACGGAACTGGCAGCCTCGTCTGTCTGTGTCCCGAAGTGCGAGCCACGATTGGAATCCCGTGCTCACACGGGTGAGATTCCTTGTTAAAATTCTCCGAAAGTGGAAATGACAGAGATACCCCCGAGCGGTCGATGTCAAGGAGTATCTGATTTAGATACGCCCTCGTGATGTAATGCAGCTTTGAAATCGCCTCCATCGATTTGAGGAGAGTCTCAAGGTTGGTGTTGACCGAGGAGAGGAAGGATGGTGACGGGGGGTTGGTGGGGGTGGTGGTGTCTTTGGCGGCGGCGACGGAGACGTACAGCGACGCCGCGCAGTACAACGAGAGGGCCATTAGCGGGGATTTATACCCCGTCTTCATGTTGTGGCTTAGCTTGAGGATGTTTACTATTTCGCCTGCTGCCATGAGGGAGCGGGTGCGGCTGTCTTGTTTGACGGACGCAGGTAAGGAGGGGAGCTTGTCTGCTTTTTCGTAGGCGGTGTTGTGGAGGCAGATGACGGCGGCGTGGAGGTTCATGTTTGTTTGGATTGCGACCGGGTCGGTGATGTTCTTTGGGAGGCGGAGGCGGTCGGGGAGGAACATGAAGGCGCTGGATAGCAAGGTGTCGAGTTCGCGGTGGCGTTGCCAGAAGGGGCCGGACTCTAAATCGTCGGGGCGGTCGGAGGGCATGGGGCAGTGGGCGTGCTTCATGATTTGGTTGAAGATGTGGCAGATGACGACGTTGCCGCCGTAGGTGGAGTAGTTGAAGCCGTTGAAGAGGGACTGGAGGGAGGTGGACTTTTCCTCTTGGCCTTTGGCGAAGGCGTCCTCGGAGGCGGGGAGGTGGGTGGTGACTTGGTTGGTGTCGATGAGGGTTGGCCAGCCGGTGCTGATGCCGGCGTAGCTGTCGATGCAGAAGGCGCCCCAGAATAGACGTCGGCGTTCTTCCAGTTCGACCCAGCCTTTGGGAGGGGGGATCATGGGAGCGATGGGGTGTTCTTCGTCGGCGGCTGTGCTGTCGAGCCGGTGGAGGCCCATCATGCCGACGATTCGAACGCATCGAGCGGAGCTCAATGCTGCCCGGGTGAAAAGCATTCTCCTGGCCTCATCGGCGGCGATCAGGGCCCAGGCTTGAGCGTGGGATACCGTGATGAAATGCTCTCCATGCCCCTGCAAAAGGTTAGTGCCCGTTGGTTGCGTGGGAGCGACGATATTGTGACGAACCTTGAGTTCATCCGCCTCCAAGTACTGCCGAGCTCGACGGTACAAAGCCTCGTGATAACACCCATACTTGGGATGGCCATCCGCTGCCATAGTCCAGATGGAATACTGAAGACACATGGGAGGTCGCATATGAGGCGGCCGGTGAAAAGCAGCCAGATACCCGTCCTTGTGAATAATGGGCAGAAATGAGTAGTGAATTGAGAAGAATAAATCATGCCTATCTCTATCAGTACATGTTTCCTCCAACATTCGCCTACCCCCCCCGCACTTACAATTCCTCAATCATTTCCCACGGGGGCAAGCTCTCAAACTGACCCAAACCAAACAGGTCCCATGGCGGAGGGTTGTTGGCTGTGGACGAAAATCCATCTGGGGGAGGAGGTGGTGGTGGTGAAAACCATGATGGATCTTGGAAAGTTGGATCTGCAAATAAGTCGTCAAAGTTGATCTGAGAAGCATCGGCCTCTAGGCCAGCTAGAGGTGATGATTCTTGAGATGGCTGCCGTGACGGTTCTAGAGAACCAGACGTTGTGCTAGGCCCGGCTTCCCGGCTGGTTCGCCGCCTGCTGACATTCTTCAAGAGACCTTCCACCTGTGCTACAGAAACTGTCAGCGCCAGAACTCCAAGGGGTAGAGGCGTACATACCTAGTCTCTCTTCCAATTCTCTAACATTCCTTCGCTTAAACGCTGGTTTCCTCCGAGACTCCGGGTAGTGACAATCGCCACCACTCCGAGCACACCTGGTGCAATTCGGCTTTCTACGATCACCTGTGCCCGAGTCAGCAATTGGCCCGTATAGATGGCTTATACGGCGTGTAGGGTGGCCTTACATTTCAGCTTCCTCGTCCGACAACTCACACAAGCCAACGGCTCGTGAGCTGCTGTTGCTCCCGTCCCGCTACCACTAGCTGTTGGCGGCGGCTCTGAGGGTCCATCAGGGGATGTTGATGACGGTGTATAGGTTGACATTGACATAATACTAAGGTACTAAACTCCGAATACGATTACAAAAAACGACAAACAAAACGACACAAGAAGAGGCAAGCCGGACTGAACAAGAGTGCGATGCCCGGGGACCCGGCATTTTGGTGGTCTATTTTATTGTTTTTCAACGTCCCCCATCCGCACCTTCAACGTCACGGAGTACGCTCCGCGCGGATTGCGTCCCACCTGGGCAACCATTCGTCAGCCATGGGAGCCTCACCCATGATGCCTGAAAAGCCAGAAGCCGTTCGCGCGGCTTTGTGCCGTAACACCTGGTCTGGCAGTTAGGTGGATGCCAGGGATTTCGGACTCTTTGCCAAAGGGGCGGACGGTTTTTGGTCCGACCTCCGAGGAGTCGCTTAGTTAAGCTGGTACCTATCATTTGCGGCTCAGCTTCGTGTGGGATATTGTTAGTTAGCTACCTGATACGATACAGCTAACAATCATGATCATCATCCAAGAGCTGCCTGGGGCTATCGGATTCTCTCGCATTCCCTTTTACCTCTAGAGTTGCGGTGTGTTCATGGGTGTCGGGAAAGCCCGGGGTTTGGCTGCTGTTGCGAATGATGGCCGCGCTCTGATGACTCACGCCTTCCCATTGCAGCACATATAGGAGATTATAGTGCGCAAAGTTCCAGTAAAGTGCCATCGAGAGACGTCACGATGGTCAATAAAGTCTGCCGGTGACTCAACCTGACGTTGCGAGGCTGGCACGCGGTGCGGCAGCGGGAGATTGGGACTTGCGTCAGCGCGGTTACGAGGTGAGCTGTCAAGTCAATTCCGCACACGACGAATCGCCCTCGCATATCTTGTGGCTTTCGCATGGATGCCCCGTATCTGCTGCCAAGCGACAGTTCGCTTCTTGTGGCTTTTCAAATCAGTGATGGAAGTTACTGAGCCCATTTGTTTGTTTTTACCCCTTTTTGTCTACAGCCCCTGTTTTTGACATGTGAGACCAATCACTCAGTCAATCCTCCCATAGCTCCAAATGTTCAGCCCAACCTTGACTCCCTTCTTCACGGGCAATCCAGCATGCCACGTCTCGTTATACCCTCTTCCGGTTCCATCAGACCTGAAATTCTCCCAGTAAACAGCATTTCCAGGTATGACTTTGAACACCGCTCCCTTCTTGTCTTCAGCTGTCTCCACGCCCTTGTCTTTCGAGTCCTCGCCATCTAGATTGTCTTCACACTCAATGAACTTGCACCACTTCTTCTTATCACCTCTCAGCTCCAACCTGGGGAACTCTGTCCCTCCTCCCTCCAACTCCTCACCATGAACCCAAACCATGAAGCTGCTCACCCTACCCCAGCCACCCCTCCCCGAGCTCCAGTCAAAGTGATGGCTGTAGTGTCCACCAGGGTTATATCTCTGGACTCTCAACCTTTCAATCCTGTCTCGTCGTCAGTTTCCTCCTTGATCAGCGCTTCAGACTTCAACTCAAAACTCACCAAACCTCCTCCCTCCACCCCTGCACCTCCCTAGCCCTCCTCTCAATACACCTCACCCCCTCCGTCCTCGGCACAAGCGCAACCTCCGAGTCCCTCACCTTGGTATTCCTATCACTCGTCTGCCCCCCGTTATGCGTGATAGTCGAGGGCGTATAGATTTTCTCACTATTCCCCCCATCAGCTCCCATCCCAGCTTCTTTTCACCCCAGCGATAAACTCACCTAATATCAAGCAAATGCTCCCTCTCCCTCGCCGAAACAAAATTCTCAAAATACACCACCAACGGCTCCCGGGAAAAGACATGCATCTTATACCCGACGTCTTCACACCCCAGCCTGGCATCAGTCCCGTTCTCCAGCGCCAGAAACTCTGGCCTGAGCTGGGGGCGAGGGATCCTGTGAAGCGGTTTCGCTGACTCGCAGTTGCATGATGGGCAGAGGGCGCCGGATAGGAAGGTGAAGATTTCAGAGGAGAAGACGAAGAAGAGGGGGAGGACGGCTATGACAAATATCCGGAACATTCTGCCTCTCTCTTTTTCAGGAGGACATTGAATGTGTAAGTCGCGTGGAAATGGATATCCCTGCCTTTGAAGTGGTGAAAAGTGGGGATAACCGTTGAGACGAGACCGTTTCACGATTCGAGGAGTTGAAAAAAGAAAAAGAAAAACAACAAATGGGTGCGAGATGTCGACAGAAGAGGAGAAGATGAGAAGAAAAGAGGACAGAACTGTTGCCAAGGTTTGGAATAGATGAATTCGGGTGTCGCTTCCAATGCGGTTAGATGTCTGGGTCCGAAAGGGCGGACTTCAGGGAATGGGTGGTAAGAAGAGAGGGGGTTAGGGTTGGGTGTGGTCGGGGGAGGGTGCCAAGAAGCCCCTGAGTTTGGACCCATATTTCTGGCGTTTGGGGGAGAAAAGGGGGTGGTGAGGCTCAGGTTCAAGCAGCAGTGATACTTGTTTTGGTAGGCAGACTTACAGACTCAGAAGAGTGGTGCTTACAATAGGACTAGATTAACTTGAATATAATTAACTTATTGATAGTGACATTTCGAGTCGGCTGTCTGGATCATGACAATAGGACGACCAAAATGGGCCTGAGGCATCGAAAGATGCCGGTTGAGTCTGTCGACAATACTAAATAAATGGTCAATTGGAAGCACCCAAGCCACCCCATATACATGTCGAGGTCGTGCTTTCCTTCTAACTTTCTTTAGGACGAGATCAATCGACAAATGTTTCTCTCTCCTTCAATCCCAATTCTTGCCAGAGGGTTCCCTTCAACAAATCTCACTCGTCGACAATCTGCCCCAAGCAAGAGCAACCTTCGACAGCGACCGAGAGCGAGCACTGTCGATAGATCCCCATCCCATAAAATATTATCTCAGCCCTTTCCAAAGACCTTCGATCTTGAGCACCACGATGCAGAATTCTCAGAGTGGGTTCCAAGATTTTCCCTGGCGGCTGGTCAACTTGGTCTGGCGGGTACTCAGATTCTGTCTTCAAACCTACCGAGAATCCTTCACCCGTACCTGACCAATTGCCATCGAAAGTCCAGCAACGGCAAATCTCAGAACCCAGCGTAGCTCCCGAGCCACACCCTCCGACAATACCTCCAGTCAGAACCAAACGTGGAGATACACCGCACCCGGCGTTTTCAGCCACGTCCCCTCCAGTTATGGACGACATTTCCGACCGGGACACTCCTGCGGCCTCCATCGAAGGTCCGGAGTCGAGCACACCACCCTATATGGATTCTGATGATGACCGGAAGATGATTAGAAACACAAACGAGCCCTCGCCATTGATCCAGTTTCCGGCCATGAACGTTATCCAACCGCCAACTCCTCGAGCCACCACCAGAATTAAACAATCGGCCTCTATGGACCACTCAAACCCCATGTACCCTTTCACGCCCGCTCTTTCCACTTACGTCGCTCCTTCCACATCTGCTGTTCCTTCCAGCTCTGCTGTTCCTTCCACCTCTGCTGCTCCTTCCCACTTTGTCGCTCCTTCCGCTTTCCACGCTCCTTCCCCCTCCGTCACTCCTTCCACCTCAACAGACTCCGTCTCAACCACCAAGAGCAATCGCTCCACCATGAAAGCCCGCCTCAGCGCTCTCAAAGAATCTCACCTCTCGGTCAAACTGATCACCAACCATTTCGAATCTCAGTACCGCCTTTCTAAGTTCTCCAATATTGCCCCTACCATTCCAAAATGGCTCAACCTCCGCGAAACAGCTCGACAGCTCGCACGTCTTCCCCTCACCAACGGCAAAACCTACAAGCTCCCCATCCGCCGCGCGACCCGCGAGACAGCCCCCCTTGTCAAGACCTGGCGAGCCAACCACGCCACCTGGCGCGAGGCCTGCAACACCAACGGGAAGATGCCATGGCTGGGCACCCGGTCTGAACTTTTCGCCATTGAGGTCGTCGAGAAGAGGAGCTGGGGTGGGATGCCGCGTTTTATCACGAGGGCTTTTGAGGACGAGGGGGTTCAGCTGGGGTGGATTTTTGACCACGATTATGTCGAGACTGTGGAGCCGACGGGCGAAGGATGGGAGAAGGTTCCGGAGTTTTGGAAGGGGGCGAGGATTTTTGATGCAGTATGGAGAGTGTTGTACATGAAGGTGACTAAGGGGAAGGTGTTGCCGCTGGGGTTTGAGGATGATTTGACGGAGTTGGTAAGGGAGGTGGTTGTTAGTGGGAGCTGGCGGGAGGTTGTGGAAGAGGGGTCTGTGTGTTCGGAGAATAGCCTGGAGGGTGGGGATGGAGTGGTGGTACAAGAGGAGGTTGGGGTAGTTGAGGAAATGGAGGTGGGACAGAAAGAGACGCAGCTTCAGGAGAGGGTTCAGGAGGAGAGAGTTCAGGAGGAGAGGGTCCAGGAGGAGAGGGCTCAGGAGGAGAAACTCCAGGAGAGGAGACGTCTGGATGTAAAACGCAAGAGGGAGAAGCGTCAGGAGGAGGAGAAGCATCAGGAGAAAATGCGTGAGAAGCAAGACTCACAGAGCGAACGGATTGGAGAAACCCAGAATGAGCATCGCAACACCAGTATCACACACCAGCAGACACCACCGGCCCCCCAACCACCGCCGAGCACAGCAGTAAACTGCTGGCCGATGCTGAAGAAAGAGATGATGGATCCTGTAAAGGAGGTACTGCGGGATATTATGCCCAGTACCCTAGGGAAGAGGCAGCTTCAAGAGGACACGGAGGATGATGATGATGCCACTTCGGTGGCGCCAAGAAAGAAGCAGAAAACTGTACAGCATGTCGACACCGCCGAGCAGGTCAACCTACCATCTCCCCCCAAGGGGTCTGAGACATCACCCGCGAAGGTGGGCAAGACCGTTGAGACTTTGGGGGACGACAAAGGGGAAGACAAAATCGAGAAGGAAATGCTAGTAGATCTCGTCAACAGGCATAATGCGGCCGTGAGCAAGATCCTCAAATTCGAGAACCAGATGGAAGAGGTCACCAACGAGCATGGAGCAATGAAGGAGAGGTTACGGGTAGTAGAGGAGGAGAACGGAATCCTCCGTAATCAGATGACGGCGGTGTTCCATCGGTTGGAGTTGGTAGAGAAGAGTTACTATCGCGGATCTCCTCAGTCTGCCCAAGGTTCACCGGCTCGGATTCAGCCTGGTCTCCGGGCTCCTAGACAGCCGGTCAAGGCTGAACAGCAGCGGAATGATGGGCGTATGAGAGGGGCAAGTTTTTATGAGGGGCGTACGTATAGTCGTCCTTCGATTTGAGTTTATGTAGAGGAGAGATGGCCTTGATTTGTTTCTTTACATGGGGAGAGATTTGGGGAACACATGGGCAGCTATGGAATGATTATCAGGATTTTCAAACGGAAATCAAATGGGTAATGACTTCGAAAGGTGATTACGTGGGCTTTTTCCAAATAAAACACTGCGGTTGATGGATAAATCGAGCTACCTTATCCGTGTGACGTGAATGAATATTTACTTTGTATTGCACTCTCAGTCGGTTGTGGAAAAAATACCAAAGGATTTCCTCTAGATAAGAGAGTTGTACGAGACACGTTTGCCCTGCGATACTCTACTTTCCAATGGATAAAACTTCAAGATGGAGGTAGGGTGCCCGTTATCACGCAAAGTTCTCTGCTAATGACCAGATAGTGACAGGGAGGGTGGTGGTGTTGGCGATTCGAGGAGGTTCAACCAGGCTGTTTTGAAACATGCCTTATTTTGACTCGTAAAACCTGTCGTCTTTTGTAGGGAGAAACGCCACTAGTTTCAGGACCCAGAGCATCAAGACATTATCACAGAAGTCATAAGAGCACGGTTTTAAGTATGAACAACATTTGTTATATGCACATGCGAGATATATACCAAAAGAAATAACTATTCACAAAGAATGCAACCACCCCCCCATCCCAACCCCCCGGTTTCCTTCCCCTAGGGTATCACCCCCTCAACCTTTAAAGGCACTGACTATACCAATCATTCTGCCTCTGGCACGTGCTCCCCGCAGCGCACTGGAAGCTCCCCGTCCAGTTCTTCCCCCCGCACTGCGCCCACTTGGCATTCACCTGCGCAGGCGGCAGCGCCAAAATTTTGGCAGAGGCGTGCTCAGCAGCAGTAACGATATAACTGCTCGGGTTGGTAGCGGGAGTACCAGGGAAGATGGACGCATCAACAACAAACAAGTTATCGGTGCCATACACCTTGGTGTTGAGGTCCACAACCGCAGTACCGCCGAGGCGGCCGTCGTCGGTGCCAATCTTGTTGGTGCCCATCCAGTGGTTGGCGCGGCGGACGCCGGGGGTGACGGGGATGGCGTCGACGTACTCGCGCGAGGACATGGACGCGGGGGGGTAGTTCCATGTCAGGCCCTGGACGTTGTTGAGGGCGGCGCGGAGGTTGTTCAGGCCAGTGATGACGGCCTCCTTGTCGTTGGGGTCCTTGAGGTAGGGGACGTCGGAGACGATGGTGGTGAGGGAGGGGGTGATGGTCATGCGGCCGCGCGAGGTGGCGCCGCGGCCGAGGTACTGGGACATGGTCATGGCGTAGCCGTTGGGGACGTCAAAGGAGCCCTCGACACGGGCGGTCCACTGGAGCTGTCTGACCTTGCCGTCGGCGCCCTTGATCTCCTCCCAGAACATGGGGCCAATGTTGGGGGCCGACTGGGCGAGAATGCCAGAGCGGGAGGAGAGGTACTTGTTGGCGTCGGTGGTGTTGGGGGCGGTCCAGGCCTGGTAGAAGTCGTAGAAGGCAGGGCCGACGTTGTTGTGGCTGATGACGGTGTCGGTGTTGAGGTGGTCATCCAAGTTGTAGCCAACGGGGAGGTTGATCCACGAGGCGTTGTTGATGAAGTCAGGGCCGTCGAGGACCGAGTTCTTGACGATCTCGAGCTGGTCGGCGGGACCAATACCGGAGCGGAGGAGGATCTTGGCACTGCCGAAAGTACCGGCAGAGAGAACGACACGGCCGGTGACGTCCTTGACCTTGACGATACCCTTGTAGCCACCATCTCTGAAGGGCTCGACCTCAACGGCGGTAATGTGGCCGTCGGTGCGGATCACACGCTTGACGACGGTGTTGAGCCAGAGGTTGAAGTTGGGGCGGGTCTTGGCGGTGCGAAGGTAGGTAGCCAAGGGGCCGCCACGCTGACCACCGGAGAACATGTAAGGGGTGTTGGAGAAGGTGCGGTTCTTGCGGTCAGGGGCGTTGTTAGCCGTGACCTGCTGCCAGCCAGCAGCCCGGAGACCGCCAGCAAGGACATTGAAACCTTGCTGGAGGTAACGCTGACCATCCTGGGAAGGCGTGTCAGTGCCGGGAATGCGGGAAAAGACCCTGCTGATGGCGCCAGCAACGTCCTTGGCCTTCCAGCCGGTAGGGAAGAGGTAGTCCCAGTCGAGAGAGTAAGGCTTGAACCAGAGACCAGCGTTGATAGCAGTGCCACCACCGAGGACGCAACCGGCCATCTGGTCGGTATCAGTGCAAGCAATACCGTTGCTGTCAACCCAGATCTGGTTGCAAAGACCGGGGACATCGAAGCGGGTGAGTTGAGTGCCCTCAAGCCATTTGGGCTTCAAGGTACCGCCGTGCTCGCCAGTGGAGGCAATACCCTTCTCGATAAGGAGAACGCTCTTGCCAGACTCGCTGAGCTTATCAGCGGTGGGGATACCACCGGCACCACCACCAACGACAATGTAGTCAAAGGCGGTGCCAGTAGGAACAGGCACACCGATGATACCGGTCTCAACGGGACCACCGCAGTCGCCAGTGACGGTCTTGGTAGCCTGAGCAGCCCAGGCAGTGTAGGATGGGTTGGCAACATTCTCGTCGAGAACGGCGCCCCAGATGCCCATACCGTTGTCGTGCTGCTCGAGGGTGATCTGATCAGGGCAAGTCGGGTTGCCAGGCGAGGGGAAAGCCTGAACCCAGCCAAGAACCAAGAAGCCGCCGCTGGTCGAGGCCCCACCGGTTGAGCCGTTGTGATCCCATTGCAAGCAGTTCTTGCACCTGAAAACCAGGGAGAAGTGTGTGGAGTTTTGGCTGGAGCGGATCTGGGTGATCTCGGCGTTGCCGGCGTACTTGTCGGGCATGGCGTAGCCACCGGCGTACCGAAGGGTGGTGTAGACGGTGTCCTCATGTGGCCAAGCGGTGATGAGGAGGGAGTTGGTCATGGGACCGGCGAGGGAGAAACCGCACCAGCCAGCCGCATCCTTGGAAGCACATTCCTACACCGAGTTAGTTTCTGAGAAAGCCATAGCCATAGGCATCAGGGGTTAAGGGGTCTTCATACCAAGTAACCGATGAACTCGGTAGCGTCCGTGGAAAGGGCGTCCGAGGGAAGGGCCATACCAAAGGTCCACCCACCTTGGGACTGAGGGCTGCCATTGGGAATGCCCCAGGAGTTGAAGACAATACCCGTCTCCGCGTCAGTGAAGGTGTTGGGCACGTTGTTTTGGCCAAACGCAGACGGCAGCGAAGCCACCGCCGCGAGGGCACCGAGAAACCTAGAGGCAGACCTCATCTTGACAGACGCCACAATGTCACCTTGTCCTGGCTGCTGGAGTGCAAGGAGGGAAGGGAAGAGAGGAAAGCAGCACCCAGCGTGGCATACCGCCCCTACTTAAACCTTCGTTTGCTGGCCATGATCATGGCCCCTAAAATATCAACAGCACCCCCCCCGTCCGCATCACACGTGCCCACCCGCATTACGGAGGCCCTTCACAGACGGGAAGTCGGAAGCAACAGAAGGCAAATGAGGAGCGTGATGGCTTGGATTGAAAATTCCCCGGTAGGTGGACGCGGCGGCACCCTGTCCGTTATTGCGGTCTTGGATGTAACAGTGGGCGTCCATCCGGGAATCAGGCAAAGGACTCCTTCGGGCTCTATGGTCCTGGATCTGGATCTGGAGCGGTGGGGATCAGCAACTGGGGGCGAGAATACGCTATGGCAGAGGTAAGCTTACTTTTCCAGACACAGGATTGGGTGGAGGACGGTCCGGAGAAGGGAGGGGCACCGGGGGAGGGGGACAGTAGAGGCGAGAGGGCTACATGAGATTCGAAAATACCATCTCGATCCGCTGACCGTGACCGTGACTAAACATGCTCACCCAAGGCCAGTATGACCGAGACCTCCGAGGTTGCCGCCGCCTGCTTACCTGCTCTCTCTCCGCCTCCGTTGGTCGTCCAAACAAGAAGTCGACAAGCGGCGGACCGTTGACGTCGCAAATAGATGTCCCGAAGATTGCAGGGTTGTCGTTCCCCACGCGCGCAAAGCAGCGTAGCCGCGATCAAGCGGCAGAGTGTCAAAAAGGCAGTCCAGGAAAGAATCTTGGAAGCAAGATGGCGCCCTTGTCAGGACGGCCCGATGCTACACGCCCAGGCCACGTTCCTGGGTTAAGCCTCCCGGCTTGCCGAGCGCCATTCCGCAAACGATCGCGGCATGTCACCTCCGCACACTCTGCGAGGGCTTCACTGCCGACGTCGACCTGGTTCGCATCTTTGCCGAAGCGGAGGTCATGACCTAAACCGTCTGTCTTGCAAGTCTTGGAAGTGCGGTTAAAAAAAAGACGAGATCAAAGTTGCATAGCAACACAAAAGGGGAAGGAGTCTGGATAATCCCCCTTTCGCTCGCTCGCGGGTGCGCAAGGCACGCACATTACATCCCGCATCATGACCCGAAAACCCGGTCAAGACCTTTTTAACAAACAGCGGAAGATCCGGAACTTCCAGAGCTTCTGTGTGGTTAGCAAAACCTGGAGAAGGGTTTCCTGCGGCTACAAATAGAGTTGGCATCGCTGCCCACAGCAGAAGCTCCAAGAAAGGAAGGAGGGGTAATGTGTTGTCCAGTAAATGGTCGCAAACAGCCAGGGATCTACAAATTAGCGTCAATCATGGTGCCAAGTTTCGCTCGCCACAATATCACAAGTTCAAAGGCCCGCTGGCCAAATGGTAAGGCGTCAGATTTCGGTTATGAAATCGCTCTGAAGATTGCGCGTTCGAGTCGCGCGTGGGTCGGACTTTCCTTTTGCCAATTTCGTATCACCACAACTCTTTCCAAGTTGAGCGATCTGGAACTGGATACTGGATAGCTGGTTTAATTTTTTGTCTCCTGAATTGCGAAATGTTACCGAGCTGAAGTAGACATGACATCTTGCTTGGCTCTGGAAACAGTCTCGGCAAGCTCGCCAACAGCTGCCAACAATCTCTATCTCATCATTTTTTTAGATCCTGCTGCTATGCGACGCGGAACGTAGCTCACGGCTCCAAAGTCCCCTAATCATGGAGTCAAGATGTAATCCTTATTCCAATTACTACGCGCGCCAGGTATCTCAATCCATAGCTCCCTTGCCAGCTACTGTTACAGAAACCCAAAAATGCTTCCGTGGAAGCTCTAACATGCCTCCAAAAAAAAATCCAAATAACCCTTTTTCCGTCTCTCTCAAAATCAATGCCCATAACCCCCACCTCCTTGCTGCCTCGCCTTCCACCCATCCTTGATCCCCTTCGCAGCCCCAATCAACTCCTGCTCCCCCACCCCATCCTTGATACTATCCAACACACTCCTAACAGTGCTAACATGGTTCGCCTCCGCCTTGTCATCCCGAAACCTATACAACCTCCACCTCCTCTCCTCATCCAAGCAGCACTCCACCACCCTATTCTGCAACGGATCTCCCCAGCTCTTCAGCTCCTCCCACTCGTCCTCACTCAAATGCAGCCCCTCCCCAAACTCCTCATACTGCGGCTGCCCCCTCTCACTCCCCTTAAAAACCAACAACCTCGCCTCCGGCAGACTATCATAATCCACAAACGGTTTCGTGATCCCCTCCGCCCGCTCCTCCTCATCCGGCTCAACAGTAGGAAAAACCAACCGCAACCTAAAATCCACCGTGTTGTCATGCGGCGCCTTCCACTTCAAAATGTGCGGATCAGTCCCAAACTGATACGGCGTCGTCCGGCACGTAAAAATCAACCCGTCATTCTCATGCTTCAGCTTCGGCAGCACCTCCCGAAACATCATCTCGATCCCATAGCTAAACTGCATGTCCTTCATCTCCACCTTGAACGCCTGAAACGGGAGCTCCTGCGGGAACTCCGTAAACAATTTCTTGTACGGCTTCATCACATGCTCCTTAAAGTACCCCAGCCGCTTGTCAAGCGATTTACTAAGCAAATCTGCCTTGCCGTCCAGACACAAAAGGTCAAACACCAAGAATTTCGGCTCCTTCCCTCCCCCGGGGACCTTGTCAAAGACCAACTCCCCATCAATCAACGTGTCGACGTGAAACTCTGCCGGACTCGCGTTCGGGAGAGGGAAATGCAAGTTTCTCTTCTCCATGTACCAGTAATCATTCTTTCGGTCGATCAAGTAGTGGCATGCGTGTCCGTGGTCGTCCTGGGTGAGATATAGCAGATACCGGATCCCGTCAGACTTTTCGCAGACGTAATAACTAAACAACCAACCCCCCCCCCCCAAACCGTCAGTATTCAACCTCACAGGATGCATGGACGACTTACTCCTCCTTCCTCAACTCCTCCATATGCCTCCTCGCAAAACTAACTGGCTGCGCTCCCGGGAACTTGTCGTTCGTCCTCCCCAGCAACCGTGCTACATCCTGCCTCAGCCCCCGGACAAACTCGTGGTCGAGCTTCACCCCGGGCTTGGATATGTCGGTTATGGGTCCTGCGTCGTCGCGCATGGTGCTCATCGCTCGCTCGTCGTCGCGTAATAGAAGGTAGGCTTTCGTCGTCAAAGGTATTCGTTCTGCGCCGCCGCGTCGTGGGAAACTGAGGCGAGGGGAGGGAGAGTTGTTCGTTGCTTGCGTTAAAAACTTCCTTTTCTTTTGAGACGGGAGGAGGTACTTGTATGCGACCACAGGTTGTAGGGAGGTGGGTGGAATGGGTGAATGGGTGGCTTTATCTTATCGCCGGGGCCCCTGCCAGAAACGCGCTAAGAAAAGGTGGGGCGGGGGCTGGTCGTTGAGGTTCTCAGTTTGGGTTGGCGAGGACAAAAGAGTTGAGGTGTACACATAGCATTGAAGGATAGTGAATCTGCGCTGAATGATAATGGGAAGGAGTTTAACGATGGTCTACAGGGCTCGAGGATAATTAACAGGCATTTCAAGATAGTCTTATGCCTTGAACTTAACAAAGCATTTTCAAGACTTGTTGACTATCTTTTAATGCACCTTTAATAATTCCAAAGGCCTATCCTTCATCCTTCGCCGCCTCTTCACTATCTTTTTACACCTATACTTGCGTCGCAGTACTTGTTCCTTGGCCTGGCGGATGTCATTCATAACCTATCTCCAAGTCCAAACATGTCCTCACCCATATCCTCAGCTATGTCCTCAAAATAACTTGCTGGATCTCAGTTCTCGTCTTGTGACGGGGCGAAGAAAAAAAGAAACCTACCTGACAAGCTCACTACAGTCTACAAACTCCTTGACACCCCTTAGCACCGATGTCTGAAATATGGCAGTAATGCACCGCAAGTCTTGATTCATAACTCTGCTCTACCAAACCCTGGCAGTCCATACAATACATTAAAGCGCCGTCGCCCCAACCTTCTTGGCCAGCGCATCATCTGTAGTTCCTTTTCCTTCCCTTTCCCGATTCCTGTCCTCTTCTTTCCCTTCACCTACCGCACCCAAGACTCATCAATCCTGTCCACCTCAACCTTGGCCTCCTCCCACGTCTCCTTGTTCTTCTTGGCCCACTCGATTTGGCTCTTTGCATACGCAAGCTACAAACGTCATTAGCACCACGACCATACCCTTCCCAGAGAGACAAAAGACACTCACCATATACCGCTTCAAATCATCCTCCTTCTCCTTCTGAAACCTCTTCAGATCCTTCAGCACACTCGCGCTAGCATCCTTGACATCCTGTGCAGACGCCACCTGAGCCTGCTCCAGCTGCTGAATTGACTCCCTCGTCTTCCCAATCATGTCCCGTCTCGTCCTCTCCGGATCCGCGTCCACCACACCCTGGACAGCATGGCGCAACGGACCAAAGATCTTGTTCGTAATAGAGATCCCGCTGCTCGGTGCCTTCTTATGGCCCGGGGCCGGCGTGGCTCGCTCTGGCGCTCCAATCTTGGCAGATGGTGCCGCCGCGATGTCCGCATGAGTAGGGGGAAAATCGGAATCAATCGACGCCGTGTCTTCGTTGCTGCCGTCACGACGGTGCTGTGATTGGGGCTCTCTTGTGCTGGTCGATCGTCTCGGAGGCTGGATCTGCTGGCTGCTGCTCAGGTACTGGTCAATCCTCCTGGCTTCCGCCTCGCTGCGCTCCAGCTGATCCAGAAGCGCGCGTTTCTTGTTGAGCTCGTCCGTAGTCATGTCCTGTTGTACCCTCTTCAACACCCTGTATCTCAGCACACTACGAATCACTCCCGCAAACTGTGCATTCTCCCGCATGGGCTCAGCAAAGCTGGCCCCCAGAGAGTTCGCCAGCTCTTCCGTGGCGATGTAAGACGAGTCCGCTGCTTGGCCTATTCTCTCAATTGATAGGTCCAGCGGCGAGTTTGTGTCCGAAAGTGCAAAGGCATTGAATTTAGCACCCAGCTCCTGCAGATCCATTGCCAAAGAGGACAAATGGGCCAGTGTTCGCCTATTGACCTTCTCCATCGGTCCTGTAAGCAGAGTTTCGAGTTCCTTGATGGAGGCTTCAAAGGCCAAAAAGTAAGGATCAAGCTCCTGCTCGCTCAAGTTGGCGTTCTCTGGCGGGAAACGCGCAAATGGCTGAGCACCAGTTGAACCATCCGCGGACGTAGCTGGACCAGTGCGGAGCTTGGCCGAACTGGCTGGTACTGGGAGATAGTTATGCCCAGGAGTCGGGTTAGCGGGATCAAGTGGTGGTGCCTTCATGATAGACTTGGGAATCGAAGCTACAGGGTGCGAGTTCAGGACCTCGTTCTACGATACTTGTTAGCACGTGCTCATGTTTGAACGCACCAATTGCCTACCCAGCTGGAATTGGGATCGAGAAACCGCCACCAAACGCCATCTGTGCGAACTTGATCCATACGTCTGCAGCGGTTCAAGAAAACGGCCAGCATGCGTTTTCTCAAGTCGATTATTTGATGGTCTTGCTTCGCATTGGTAGGATTGGCGGCATAGTCAGCCATGGTGTGCTTCTCTGGAATTGGCGGAATAATAAGTGTTGGGTGTAGTCTCGTGAGGGCATCTCTCAGGGAGGCAAATTCGGAGTATCGTCTGCGCACTATAAGCTCCTATAGGCAAATGTTAGTAATGCCAATGCTCCCAGCAAAGCTTGAACCAAAACTCACCCCAGTCTTGATGGTATAAACAATATATCTCCCATTCTCCGAGCTCTTCCCCGCCTCTGTGATCAGAATAGGCATATCCGGATGCTCATAAAGCATCTGTTCCACCCGACTATCATAACCCCCCGGTTTCCGCCGTGGCACAAGCTCGTCCTGATCATGGCCATAATCCTCCTCATCGCTCTCTAGATCGCTATGCTCGTGGTGTGGAGGAGCTTCATCGCCGGTCGAAGATGGCGTCTGTGGGGGGTCGTATCGATCTATCATCACCCAGTCGGAACTATCATCAGTACTGCTTCTCGGTGACTCGAGGGAGATATCCTCGAGGTCGGTAAGGCCCACCATCTCGAAGTTCTCGCATGGCAGTAAAGGGCAGCAGCATGGCAAGAGGGCTGGGTCGGAGGTGGTGGAAGCAAGAGCAGCACTACTTACAATCTCGGGTGATAGGGGACGAAGGGTTGGCGGAGGAAGCAAACGAGTCCCGGCGCTCAAAGCTTCCGCCGTAGGGGTTATTGTCTTCATCGTCGTTCCACATGGCTCGGCGTCACGCACTGCGGTGCTGGAAGGGATGAGAAGGGTGGTGGGCAACGTGAAAGGGCAGCTGGCGCAAGCTCACCGGGATCACAGCACTGCGAAAGCCAACAGCTACTTGTCTGCGGGGCAGACGAGGGCAGGGATTGATCGTGGAGGTTTGCGACAGTTGAGCAGGGGGGCACGAGGTGGTGGTTATGGACAAGACGTGTTCACAAAAGGCTCAGAGATGATTTTTGTCGGCGTTTTTCATGCAAAGACAGCAGAAGTCAAATGTGTTAAGGGCTGCGTGTGGCTGCTACCGAGGAGTACAGTGGTGGTGGTGGTGGTGGTGGTGGTGGTAGTGGTTGTGGTGGAGGGTGGGCCGAACACAAGCTTGGAGCGATGTGAGGCACAGCCCAGAGCCTGCCAAGAATATGACGACGCAAGCTCCACCTCACCACCTGAGCCCTCTCACCCAGGGTTACATAAGCATCAAGATCACTTCACGCAGCATCACCTCTTTATAGTGCATAAGGTAGGTACCTAGGTAGGTAGGTAGTGTTGCAGCTTCATTCAAGCTATAATGATGTCATGCATCACGTTCCCTTTTCAATCGTTTTGTTTTCAAATTTCTGTTCAATGCTCAAGCATGAGGCTGATTAGATACACCTCTATGTGCCCCCTTTCCCTCCAAGAACAAAACCACAAGAAGCAGAAGCCAAGTATGAAGACAAAGATGAACGGGCAAAATCGGTAACTATTTCAACCCCTTTCCCTTAATCATTCTTGCCATGCCACTTCTCCAGCACAGGGCTTTATCTGTTTGGCTTTCTTTTCCGCCCCTTCCCCTGTACAACTTTTCTCTTTCCAAAGTAATCATCGTCATACCCGTCATCTCATCATTCCAACCATTCCATGCTCTCCCCTTCCTGCCGCTGGGGTATGAACACACTGGGAAACAAGCAGAAGGGTACCGCCCTCTTTGCTGTCCGCCAGCACATTCCCATATGTAACCACCATATACCCCCTTTGCCCTTCTTGATGGAAATGACGATGATGAAGACAGAAAGAAAAGAAATATGACCAAATAAAGAAAACAGATGGGCCGTCCGAGCCCGCACTCCCCTCGTAGTTCGAGGGGACATTCAGAGTTTTTTCTCTTTCCAAACCGAACCAAAGAAAAGAGATGTTAAATGAGAGAGCGAAAGATACAGATAAGGAAAAGCGAGGTAGGTAGATGTGACAACAGATCGCCTCCCCCAAACAGGTAAACTCCTTTTTTCTCTTCCCTGCCCAGCCTTAATGATGATGAGCCAAATAAGATCCAAACAAAACCCAACTCTATGATTCAATCCGCTCACGAAATGCTTGGTAGTATAACAGTAATATGACAAGACAAAGAAAAATGTGGTGGCAGAGACCGCTGCGATGGTAATCTCTGGTGTCGGACGAGGTACTTGGTGGTACATTCTTGAAGAGGTATGTGTACGTATATATGTGTGTGGGTATATATTGATATGTTTTAGATGCGGTTCCCCGTCAGTTGAACCGACGGGAAGAGCGTATATTGGTTAGGAGGAGGGGGGGTGCTGAGACTGGTTGTCCTTGCGCGCCCACGCTTGGCTTGCACGAAGCTCTTGGTCTTCGCTGGCCACGTCTCCTCGGTGGCCAGATGCAAGAGGTTCGACTCGCTGCCGCGGCTCCTGAACTCCCGACGGCGACCGGTGGGCCTGGTCACCTCCTCGGACTCGGGAAGAGTCGGCATGGCACCTGACTCAAGCGTAGGGAATGCCTCTGGCTTCAGTGGATAGTTGTCCAAGTCCAATGAGGTCGTGCTGGGGGTCAACTGCGTGAAGTCGGTCATGGTGGAAGCGGCAGAGATGTGCTTCCCAAAGCCCGAGTGGGCGCTCTCGTAGGTGCCTGTCGTGGAGGCACTCGTCCGATAGCGGTGCGAGTCGCGCAGGGCAACATCGTGGTGCTCGTCCTCCTCAGCTTCACAAGCCAGCATTTGCTGCTGGAAATCCATGGGAATCAAGAGTGACGGAGACAGAGTGAAACCATGGCACTCTTTGAAGCTTGACGCATCCGATGGCTTTCTAACATGAAGCAGACGCTTTGGCTCGGCCAGGGGAAGCGAAAAGTTGGAAGCGCTGGGGTTGGAGCCCGTGACCGGTGTGACGGCCTCGTGAGCAGTGGGAGACAGTGGGCTGACGGGACTCAAAGCGGGCACGTTGAACCGCGCCACTGAAAGCATGGTGGGGGAGACATCGCAAGAGTCGATACGGCGGTCATTGTCATCTACGGGCGTGGCACTATCTCGGCTGAGCTCGAAGGACGGCCGCTGCCACTCATAATCACAGTCTGCCTCGGCCGCATGCTCGTAGCAATAGTCAATATCATCCTCCCAGTTGTCTCTGTAGATGCCGTCGGTGCCCTCGTTCAAGACAGCCTCGAGAGCACGTTGCGCGGCAATCAGATCGAACCGGCCCAACGTCTCCGACGCTTGGCTTTCCCGACGGTCAGCGTCATCGTTGTTCCGAATGGAGAACGCCCTAAGCATCGGCACCGATTGGCTTCCACGCAGCGACGAGTTGCTGGCAACGCTAGCCCGCGACTTCTTGGCCACAAACGCACTCTCTTCCTCCTCTGGCACATCCGGCAAGGTGAACTCTGATGCATTGGCGCTCGGGGAGGGCAGCGGCCAGTTGGCGTCGCCAGAAGGGCTTCTGATGTGCGCAGAGATGTGCTCGGGAATGACGCCCATGTCTGGCCCAGGAACATAGCCAGACGAGGTTGGTGGCGGGCTCCCAGCCTCCACGATCTGTGAGAACGGCTGGGGGTAACGGAAGCTGGTGTTTGGCCTGTCCATGGAGTCGAGCCGCTCGTGCCGAGAAGACATGCGGCTGGAAACGCGAGGGGGTGGAAGAGGGGGATATGGTGTATTGCTCTCAATGGGAGACCTTGGGGGACGTGGCGGTGGAATCATGCCTAGGTGATCTTGCGATTGCGAGCGCTTGAGGAGGCGACGTGGAGAACGCTTCATGATACCCGATGGAGGTCGGGTCAACGTGCTCCTTGCCAACTCTTCGGTCAAAACCCCCATCCCATCATCGTCACCGAGAGGAAGTGAGTCGGATGAGAAGTCATTGAAGTGCAAATCATCCGCCCTGATCCCCTTCAGCGCACCAGTGGGAGGCGCTTGCGAGGCACGAACTTGGGAAAACTCGGAGGCCAACGCTTGTCGATTTGTCCGCTGCAGGTCGGGCAGGTGGTCCTTCTGAGTATGCGTTACGTGTTGGAAGTTATAGGGGCCGGAGATCTGGATCTTGCGGGAGGCATCGTTGGTATCCGCTCTTGAACCACGACGCAGCCCGAACAAGGATGGAATGCTCGAGTCCCGACTAGGCATCGATGTCGGAGGAGGAGGCAAGAGCAAAGATTCTGAACCACCCTCTCCCGAATACACCGAGTTTGCTGCCGAGCTCTGGGCGCTGCTTTCGCGTCTTAGTCTTCCTCTCCGGTTGAAAAGCGATTTGCTAAAGAACTGCACGCTCTCGGGGCGATCCTTCGACGGCATGCTGCTCGATGTTGACCGGCCTGATGATTTCCGCGACAACGTCCTAGCCTCGAGAACATTCTCCCACGAAGGTCTATCCGCCGAAGTAAGAGACCGCAACGAAGACGAGCCGGAGGAGTGGCTTTGGTGCTTGTCTCGAACCGACGCTCGCTGCATCTGTCTGCGAATACTCTCCGGTGATGGTGGCGCATCGATGGCAGGTCCGAGAAAGCTCTCCAGACTCTGGTCCATGGGAACGTCGACATGATCCCAAGGCGTTACATCAGCGGAAGCCGGGACTGGTAGCACGACAGGTGGTGGCGGCGGCGCTGATTCTGTCCTCTCATCCTTCAACTGCTTGTCCACCTTCTGCCGGGACCCCGAGCTCTTGTCGACCGCGTACACCGGAAGCTGAGAAACCGCCCACATCTGCATGGTGGGCGGTGGTGTTGGTATTCCTGTTGGTTTCTGGTTCAACGGCTGTACTTTTCTTGTCAACTGACGTCTGTCAGCTGGACTCTGCGCTTTCTCGATCTCCCTGATCCTCTGTTTGGTAGTTTCGTCTGAATGGTTGATATGCCGTGGTGATTGGACGGGTGATGGGCGAGCGAGTGGAGACCTTTGACTGGGTGTTTATGCGTTATGCTTTGGTGGTGAGATGGTAGTGGGTGGTGGCGAAGTCGTGATGCGAGACGTCGACGAAGGGGGAACGCGTCCAGGGCGGTTTGCAAAACTAACAACGATGCAATGCGATGTGACGGGAAAGGAGTGACAAGTCGTCGACGTCGACGCCTGGGGAAAGCAGTCGGGAAGTTGGAGACGTATTATTTTTAGAGAGAGAGAGCCGGAAACCACTCAATTGTGGGGGATGGACAGCTCCGGGGTCCCCATATATTAATTCTCCAGAGACGGGACCCAAGAGTGATTTCCCATCCTGGCAGCTCCTCGCAATGCACTTGGGATCTTGCGTTGCTGGGAGCCAGCGGCGCCAATGGCGAGGGTGCCGTGGCTTCGTCGTCCCGCTTTCCAGGGGGCTCCCTGTCAACAAAAGATTCTGGAGCTTTCAGGGGAGGGGTGGTGGAGGGTGAAGGGTGTCGATAGCTGCACCCCGCCGACCCGACGGTGTGTGTCTGCTAGTGCCCACCGTTAGGGACCGAGAACCTGCTGGGAAAACGCTGGTGGTTTGTTGCATGGACTGTGCCACAAAACGGTGAGGATCACGGCGACGGCGTAGGCGATTGTTAGCCTCTCTGGCTTCCTATCCACTGACGATCATCGTCATCTCCAGATACGCCCTCATCCATGAAGAAACTTGGAAGCCAGACGTGTGTTTCTTCGGCCCCGCACTCTTCAGCGTGGCCTTCCGTTGTCTCAGACATCGGGATAAGCCGAGGCATGGGCTCTGGGCAGGCGGACGGAACTGCTCAGACAACGGGCGACTGATCAGGAAACGGCCGAAGCTTTTT